GGCGGCCGCCCCCACGCGGAGTCCCTCCCTGCAGGGACCCCCTCCTTCCTGCTGCTGTGGCCTGGCGCTCCGGTTATGGAAACCCGGGTGGAAAGAAGCCCAAGAAAATCCTGAAGGCACCCAAAAAGCTGACCCGAATCCCCAGGGTCCTCCCGCCGCTGCGGTTTGGTGCCAGAGGCCCCTGCTTGGCCGAAGGCCACCGCAGCCCCGCGCTGCCCTCGCCCTGGCCGCCCTCGGGGCAGAGAAGCGGCTCTCCTGCCGCAGTCGAGCGCCCTTAAGCGCTCGTAACGTGTTTTAGGAACGGCTTCAGCCTCTGCGCGGCAAATCGCCCCTTTGCGGCTACCGGTTGAGGGTGGGGAGGAAAGGATTTCGTCCTGGGTGGCTGCCCAGGAGCCGGGCGTCGCGCCTGCACCCGAGCAGTAAATAACCGCGCGCGTTCGGAACAGCGCGGAGGGCGGATCGCTGTGTCCCCGAGGAGCGGGACCGGGCCTGGCACGCCGGCCCCCTGCCCTTCTGGTGCTGTTCAGGGACCGCCCGCTCCCCCGAGCGTCTCACCCCGTCGAGCCGGCGTGGTCCCGCTGCGGGAACTGCGGCTTGGGGTGGTGGAGGAGGTGGGGACGGCGCCAGGGAGAGCGGCTGAGGTCTGGGGACGTGGGTGCCCCAGGAGGGTCTCTTCTCTGGCCTGACGCCTCCCCCGTCTGCCCCGCAGATCACGTCCCGCCTGGCCGATGTCTTCAACCAGCGCTGCGAGGTGAACCGCCGCGCCTCCGTCAGCGGCTGCGTCATCAACACCTGCGGCTGGGTGAAGGGCTCGGGCTACCAGGCGCTGGTGCACGCCGCCTCCGCCTTCGAGGTGGACGTGGTGGTGGTGCTGGACCAGGAGCGGCTCTACAACGAGCTGAAGAGGGACCTGCCCCACTTCGTGCGCACCGTCCTGCTCCCCAAGTCCGGCGGGGTGGTGGAGCGCTCCAAGGACTTCCGGCGGGAATGCCGCGACGACCGCATCCGGGAGTATTTCTACGGCTTCCGGGGCTGCTTCTACCCTCACGCCTTCGACGTCAAGTTCTCCGACGTCAAGATCTACAAGGTGGGGGCGCCCACCATCCCGGACTCCTGCCTGCCCCTGGGCATGTCGCAGGAGGACAACCAGCTGAAGCTGGTGCCGGTGACGCCGGGGCGGGACATGGTGCACCACCTCCTGAGCGTCAGCACCGCCGACGGCCCCGACGACAACATCTCGGAGACCAGCGTGGCCGGCTTCATCGTCGTCACCGGCGTCGACCTGGAGCGCCAGGTCTTCACCGTGCTCTCCCCCGCGCCGCGGCCGCTGCCCAAGAGCTTCCTCCTCATCATGGACATCCGCTTCATGGACCTGAAGTAGGGGAGGAGCGGGGCCCGGCCCGCCGCGCCACGCGATGCCTTTTGTACCGTTCGTTATTAAACCTCGAAGCCTTTCGCTGGCGGCTGCGTGGCTGCCCCGGGGCG